TGTCCTTTTCCTTTCTGTTCTTCCACCCCAGGGAGGGACTAGTCGTCATGGGCATAGACTGTAGCACTGGATCACCAACCACAAGGCAAACAGACAGCGAATTCAGGCAAGGGAAAAAAGAGCATCAGAGAGGTTTTCTTAAAGCGTAACCACAGCCTCTTTTTCTTTACAGCCAAGGAAGGTGCCATCTTAGCATGCTATTTAGATTGCAGTTGCCATGGTGCTGCACATGTGATCAGCTATGACACCAGCCATGGGAAGACTTGAAAGTTTGGTGGACAGCTGAAATAAGCAGAATGGCAACCTTGAAACTGGCATGCCTTGAATGTCACTGTTATGGGAGACATTGAAGTTCCCTTTTTTAATGGGGGAATGGGTGGGATCGATGTAAATATGGGGGGAGGGTCTGTGTATGCCCAGTGATGGGCTTTGGCATGAACAAATCTATATGAAGCTCGTACCTTTCTTGAATATAAAAATAGTACAGTCTATAGCAGTAAATGAAAGATCTACAGGTATATAGAACTATTAAAGCTGTAACTGCCATCAATCATGCCATACAATGATTAAATATATCCCTGTCATTAGCGCTGATTGATCTTAAGAGGTTTCTGCCTCTCTAGTTTTCATTTTAAATTATGTTTTTTTTACCAGGATTTTAACGTTTTAGTTACAAATGCATTTGTATGTATCAGAGGTCATGGCTATAGCTGTAACACAACAAAGTCTTAGCATGTGACAATGGAATCAGGGTACAGAAGGGTGGATGCACTCTGGTCCACATGGCCAAATGGGGCTTATGCTACAATACAAACTCAACCACTGATGGGAGCAAGGGAAACTCTGTAGTTGTGTAGAAAACACCATGCTTCAAAAGAGGAGTGAAGTTTAGTCTTGCAACCTTTTTTAATTTGTGAATATTTTAAAGCTGAATTCCAGGCAGATAAACAAAGCTATCATTAACGAAAGCCCTTCATGGACTCATTAAGAATCTCAAAATGTATTTTTAACAAACATACATTGTATGCCATACGTCATTGACAGCGAAAAGGTTGAAGCTGGCCATACTCTGGTAGATTTTCATACAAACGTTCTCATAAGAACATTTAATAATGCCATCAGATTGCCATTGTAGAATGCTGTTTGAAAATGTTGCTATTTTTTAATTAGGGATGCACCGAAATTTCAGCTGCCGAAACATTTCAGCTGAAAGTGGTAGTTTGGGTAAAATGCAAAAAGTACCATAACGGCCAAAAATGCGGCTGAAAATTCAATGCATCCTGACTGCTTCCCTCCTGCCCACTGGGCGTCGGTCCCTTTTCCCTTCCGATGCCCGCTGCTCTTCCCCCGCCAGTGTAGACAGAGGCAGTGGAGATCTGAGGGGATACAGACTGGTGCCCAGCGTGGAGGAAAGTAGGTTTCAGGAGGCCGTGCGGGGAGGAGACAGCTCAGGATGCTGAGCAGGGTGGTGCGGGGCAGAGACAGCTGTCACTGGTAGTGGAAAGTAAGGATGGAGAACGGGGAGCAGTGAGCTGTCGGCTGTCACAGGAGGTCAAGCTCTCCTCCCACACTGCCCCGCTCTGCCTCCAGTGACAGCGAGTCCGGATGGAGAGCGGCTTAGAAGCCCTCAGCGATCAGGTGATCGCTGAATGTTTGCAAATAACTGGGGACATTGTATGCTTTATTATGAATGAACAGGAAGTGCTCAACATCACTTCCTGTTCATTCATGATTGTGGACATAGTAGCTCATACTATCTCCACAGTTTAAGAATGAACAGGAACACTCAGTATAGAGGCTTCCGGTTTATTCATAACAGTGGCTGCAGAAAGAGAGATTTAGGACTCTGTCTCCTCAATCTCTTTTTATATTGTAAAAGGGAAATATCAGAGGTCTGTTTAGACTGCTGATATTTCCCCAAAGCCCCATTCAGTAAAGTAAAAATAAAAATGAAAAAAATTATATTAAAAATGTTTAAAAGGTTGGGGGGAAAAAACATAATTTTTGGTTTTGGCCAGACAAATTATTTTTTTGGCTTCGCTCTATTAATTCAATTTTGGTGCATCTCTAATTCTAACATTTTAATTTTGGAAATTGATGGAGTTTCCCAAATATAAAACCATATTCACTATTAGAATTTCATTAGTTGGGTAAAATATTTCTATCCTAAACCTTGAATTTATTTCATCACTACAATCTTTACCAATTATTGATTTCACCCCAATAACTGGAAAATAGAACATTCCAAAAACCAATTTTTTAAGCCAAAGTTCTAATGTCCAGCTTATGAACAATGTCCAGTGAAATGGATTGTTTCCTATGAGTCAGTGCATATTGATACTCTGCTCACTGTTATGAGAGTGGTAAGTTTGTTTTTGCAGAACACAAATGTAGCACAGTGAAAAACAATTAACACTAGCAGAAAAATAAATAATCTCTCAGGTGCTACTTAATTATCCGAACAGGGAATTAAATATCAGGTAACTTAAAAATATTTTTTCTCCCCTGTTGCCAGTTGGATGATATTAGATGCTGTATCTAACTGCGTGCTCTGATAGTCGCTCAGACTCATATTGTCTATAGCAGGCAGGTTCTCATTTCCATGTCTCTGGGTAAAGGGGAAAGAGGAAAGCAAATGATCTGATTAGCTGTTGTAGAAACCAGCAGCAGGTCGTCTGTCAATAACTTTAAAGGGTTAGTTCACCTTTCACATAAAATGTAAATGTGAACTAATTCACAACACGCTCTCTCCCTTCCCTGGTCCAGTTGCATTGATTTGCAATGATGACCTGAGCCACTAACCACCTCAGCCCATATAATGGCCCCTTCCGGCATATAAAAGGTTCACTACACAGCCCCAGAAGCTGTATAGCAACATACCACTTGCAATGGGACGTAGTGATTTTTATTCTGGCATCATCCCAGGTCACTATCTATATCCTAGACTGAGATAGCGGCTCAGAGATGACACAACCATGTAAATCCTGGTGCTTGTGCAGTTCCTGGCTGTGTTTAAATGCCTGATACAGATCAGCCCCTGCCGCAGCCTCTCCTTGTTACAAAGTTTCAATGTTGTAGTCTGATTACGTGGAGAGTGTAGAGCAAGGTGCCATTCATAATTGCTATGTGCATATCTCATTCTGCGCCTTTGTTGCACATCTACATAGGGCAGCTTATTCAGTTCACAAGTTAATGTGTTGCAAAAATGTGTGTCTTGCTTGCCATATTTGGGGTGCCATTTGCAATAAAGGCGCCTGCTTTTAGCAATTTTGCTCCATTGTTTGCCCCATAGGAAATGTTTCCTCCTGCCTGCAGCTGACTAACAACATCACCTTAAGTCAGGTACACACAGTTTGAATTTCAGCTAATCGATGAGGCCGATTGGCAAATTCTCAGCTGAATGGTCTGTCAGAATACAATGCAAGCAGCAGGAAATTCGTCCATCAATGTGTCATATCAAGTGTTGATAGAGGAATCTGTTCAATTTTTGTTGTTCAGCCCATGGGTTGATGAAAAAATAGAACCGTGTACACCCCATTTTAGTCTCAGCAAACACAATGACTGGAGTTCAAATGCTGCTTTTCAATGATACAGGTGGAACCTTTCTTAGAAATAATACTGCTGAGGTATAGTGTGATGTCAGCGATTTATTGAACAATACAGAGTTGTAAAGTCTCTGAACAGTCTGTTTTCATTTCACCAATTTTAAGTGTGTTCTAATGTATTAAAAAACGTGTCTCCTTGTTTCATGTGTACTGATCTAAATAAATGGTGGCAGCCATGTTTGACTATTTCACATACTGCCTCTCATTCCTTCATTCTTTGATGATTTTCTTATATATAGTATGACAAGTATACTAACAAGGGGAGCAGAAGCTTTTTTATGCATAAAGATAATTCAGAAATTAAAATCCATTGGCAGGTAAAACAGTTCTTGTAGGTGTATTTAGCTCTTTTGCCCAGAGTTCAGTTTGCACCATAATACCTCATAATGCATACTCGCTAAAAGCATAATGGGAATTTATCAAAACTGGAGCAGACAGAATCTGGAGCAGTTGTACATGGTAACCAATCAGCTGCTATCTTCAGTTTGTTCAGTTAAAGGAGAATTATGAGGTGAGTGATTTTCACTCAGCCTCATAATCTGAGCCGACCTGTGACAATGAAACTGTCACACATCGGCTCAGTAGATTGGGAAGTGAGCGAAAACATAACGTCACTCGCTCACTTCTCGATCTATCCCTGCAGAGAGCCATGACTGTCACTCACGGCTCCCTGCAGAGTTTCCCCCTCCCCTGTCCGATCCTCCAGCGCTGACTAGCGTAATGGACGGGGAGGGGGGGGCACAGGTGTCTCTGCCTCTGGATAGGCAGAGCCAGATGTCACTCACGCAGCTCAGTAGATCCCAACAGCATTGTCGGGATCCGTTCCGGCTGCGGCGTCTCAGTATACCGCGAGCTGTAGCTCGCGGTATACTGAGCTTTGGGTCACGGGAGAACGCTAGTTTGTGTTCTCCCGTGACCCTTCGGAGAACTATGGGGAAAAGCCCTAACCCCATAGTTCTCCTTTAAGCTTTGAAAATGAAAAAGAGATGCTGATTGACTGCCGTTGACAACTGCTCCAGATTCTGTCTGCTCCAGTTTTGATAAATTCCTCTCTTTGTACCTTTAAATGTTTGAGAGATAAAACAAATCTGGAAATCCCTTTTTAAAAATAAAAACGGTGAGTTGAAAGAGACACCCATATTGTTTTATCTTATGCCTATTTTTACTGTTAATTTTGCACAAACTGCACAGAACAGATGGATGGCATTTTCAGATAGCATGTGGTGTATGATACTGAGTCAGCACTTCACGCAGAATGTTGTCTAACATGAAAGGATATGAATGTACCAAAATTTTGATTGCAGCTCTTCTTATAGGATGGAAAGGGCTAATTATATACAATGCAGGTGTGGCACTAAATCTGAAGATTGTCTTCCCTTTGTTTATTACTATAAAGGTCTAGAGAGAAAAGTAAGCAAAAACAAGTGACACATCAAAATTAGTTTGAGAGTACATTGTAATACACAGGTCTGACTAAATAAAACTTCCTGAATATTTTTAAAGCTTACATTGAATCTGCTCATATTTTGTCTACTCTATTTCCTCCTTTCTACCCTCTTAGGCTAGGTTTACATATCAGTGATCCCAGGACACGCGTCTTGGGACCGCACGACACACAGCTATTGCCACGCAGCCCTATTGATTTCAATGGGGTTAAATCCGAGCGGCAATCGCTGAAAAAAGATACATGTACCTTGTTTTGTGACACGCACCGCGATCTGCCTGGCACGAATGAGGTGCCAATAGAAAATAATGGCACCGCCAGCACGATCGGCAGTGGTGTGCAATTCCGTGACAGCGCCGCCATCTGTGCGGTTTTGTGCACGATATCCACGGAGTCACGGATCCTCCTAATATGAACCTTGCCTAAATATGTTTAATAACATTTGCAAATACCCTGTTTCCCCAAAAATAAGACCTACCCCGAAAATAAGACCTAGTACTATTTTTGGGAATTGCTAAAATATAAGACCTACCCCGAAAATAAGACCTAGTTGTGACCATTCCCAGGGCCGGCGGTTGCATAAGGAGGAACTTGAAGAGCCGTGGGAGAGGCAGGAGAGAATCAGCAGTGCCAACGGAGATAGCGCTAGAGGAAGCGAGGCGGCACAGGAGGGAGCAAAGCCGCATAAGCCGATGCTTCCTCTATAGCGCCGGCTCCAGTCACAGGCAAAGTGATACCAAATGCACTCCGCCTGTGAGGAATCAATAGTGAAAGTGCGCTTCACTCATTCTGGCCAGCGATTGGTTAGCAAATTGCTCTTGGAAAGGTACGGCACCCCTGATCACCATATTTTTGTACATGAATACATGTAGACTGTTGTACATGAATAAGTGTGGATTGTTGTACATTAAAAAAAATAAGGCCTACCCCGAAAATAAGACCTAGTGTGTTTTTTTTTGAGCCAAAAAAAATATAAGACAGTGTCTTATTTTCGGGGAAACACGGTAAAACCTTTCTATTTTCATTATGCTATTTATTTTGGTCCCAGTCTCTTTGCACTGCAGGCAGATCATAAATAGTGAGAGGGGCAGGCAGGGTGCTGTACATAGCTTCCTGAAAACATCACAGAACCCTACCTCAGTACTCCACTCAAGAGCCCTCAGCCCTAATGCAGGCAGCGGGCTGGCTATTGGGAGGGGTTATGCAAATATTAAAATGCCTTGATGGGTCAATGGAAGTCCGGAGGAGTGAGCATTCCTAGGCACGCTGTATTTGCTTGCAGACTCCCCAAGGTAACACCCACATGTGATGCTGAATGTCCAAGACTGAAAGAACTGAAGTCAAATACAGGCAGATCAGGGACAGTAAAGCTGGGGAGAAATGTGCTAGATGATGCTGGAAGCCCTCCAGCCAGGAAATAAGATGGCCTCTGATTGCTGCAGCTTCTAATGCACACAGCGTGCAGGGCAATAGAAAAACAGAAATGTTAGTATAGGAGGAGCCTGTACAACTGTGCAAGAATAAATGTAAGGCTGGAGTTCAGAGGCAATCAAACATGATCTTCTGAGCAAACATTTAAGACAGTTGAGAAAATGAAAGAAGAAATATAATAGTTTGCTGAACAGCATATGTGTCTAGCAGTCAATCAGAAATAGGTTTTCATAAACCTGACTACGGGCTTGTTTCCACCAGCACGTGTGTCTACCACAATGTCCCATGCCCGGAACGCAAGGGATTGTATATATAAAGTCTCCTTGCGTTCTGGGGTGGGAGTGACAATGCCATTCAAGTCAAAGGCACTGCAGACTTGCCCCAACCACCAATCCCCGCCCCGGCCACACATGAACAAGTGGTAATTTAATGCCATGCATTCCAGTCCGGTCTGATCGCAATAAATAGTGCATAGTGACTTTATATATGCGATCCCTTGCGTTCCTTGCAGTAGATGCGGGGACTGGTGGAATCAAGTCCCTACTCTGATTGTAGTTAGAAAATATCTGATGGATTGACATCAGTTACTGCACTTTACACCGTGCTTTTTTAATGAGGAATGTTATCATTACCTTTTAAATACTTTTGGGTTAAAGCTGGTTATAAACTTAGACAGCAGTCAGACACTGAAGCCACAATCATAACCTCCTGCAGTGACACTTAACTCAAGAGTTAGAGCCGACCTTTACCCATATCTTTAAAATAACATCAAAGGCACCTTTAGAAATGTTTACTAATGACAATCTACAAACACATACTTCTAGATAATTGATGGCTTTTTATTCTTTGTATACCTCATTTTTCTTTTCTTCCCCAGTATTCTGACAGTGGCCATTTTAACTAAGGGCAGGTTACTAGATCTCCCTTTACTTCCTGGAACTCTGACACATGTGACTAGGACATGTGACCATGCACAGCATCTCAGGGGAGGAAAATGCATTTCCCTGAGATCGTCTGAGATTACAGATGAGATTTCCCAGCAATGCTCTGCTGATATAACCTTCCCAGGATGCAATGCTTGGGCACAATAACATTATTTGTGCCAAAGTGGACCAGGAAGTGGAAAAAAAGAAATTGTAAGTAAAATAAAAATATGTTTGTTTAACTAATGAATGTAAGATGATTTCATATCAGCATACAGAGCTGTATGTGGAGGTGATTTTTAGTCAAAGGGGGTAAAGGTCCACTTTAATAGTTAAAGGAGAACTATGGGGTTAAGGCTTTTCCCCATAGTTCTCCTTAGGGTAACGGGAGGACACAAACTAGCGTCCTCCCATCACCCTAGGCTCAGTATACTGAGACGCATTCAATGCTTTTTTAAGATTTAACTCTGAGTTTAGTGTCACTTTAGGGTTAAAAATCTTCCAGGGGGTTCAGGAATCTATAAACTTGCAGGGTTGGCTCTGTTGAATTAGGATATTCATGTCAGTGCAGAGAACAGGGGCATGAGGAGAGTAGGATAGGCATAGACTGTAGGCACATTCAGTCAGGGAAGATCAACAACATTTAGCTTGAAACTTCTAACCCTCCAGAAAAATAATCCTTCCCAAATTTGCCAGCCTGCAGCTAGACATGAGACCACAGACATGAGACTTTCCAACCAATTCAGCCAAGGACAATCATTTCAAGTTTACAGTGTCTTAGTAACAAAAGCAAGTGCTGCTCCAGGTCAGTCCACTTTAACTCCATTCACTGGGTGAATGCCTGGCTCAATACCAGTCGTACAATCTTTTTTAAACAGCGAAATCACAGAACTCCAAAAATCAGTGTGGACTCTATAACTAAGCCCTCTATTGAGTAGCAATGTGGCATAGTGGTTAGTGCTTCTGCCTTGCAGCACTGGGGGTCCATGGTTTGAATCCTGGTCAAGGCACCATTTGCATGGAGTTTAAATGTTCTCTGTGGGATCTTTCTGGTTTCCTCCCACACTCCAGAGCTATGCTGGAAGGCTAATTGGCCCTGTATGCATATGAGATAAGGACCATAGTTTGTAAGCTCCATGAGTCGAAGTCTGAAGGACCACAGAACTCCAAAAATCAGTGTGGACTCATCTAATCCAACATTCACATAGGGGCCGAACCGCAGTGAGAGGAATAGCGACATTAGGCTTGGCTATTCTGCTTGGTACCTTCATGGTACTGCGCAGAATAGCAATTCAATGAAAAGAGTGAATAAAAAAAATAAAGTTGAAAAAATATTTTTTTAAATGTTAAATCTAAAAAAAGAAATAACGATTTTTGAAAGAAGAAAAAAGAAACAATAGGTCGGAGCTAGCAGTGACAGCTAGCACCACCCAACTGTTCCCTATTGGCCAGAACATGGTAGAGTCTTCTAGCAGGTCCAGTCCAATGAATAACTGGGCAGAGCCGACCGTGACGTCACAGCTGGCTTCCCTCAGTCATTATTGTTTAATGACAGATCAGCGGTCCCAGGTCATTTGGGGACGCTGATCAGTATTACAACTGGGCAAACCGGACTTGAGATCACGACTGGCTCCGCCCAGCTGTCATTTGCGAGACGTCAGCCTTTGGCCAGCCGTTCGCCCTGCTTCGGCTGTCATTTCAGCTATGTCGAGCCAAAGCAAATGCCTTCGGCTCAGCTAAGCCGCTCGGCCGCCTTCGTCAGCTGTACGGGCTATAGTGAAGAGAGCCAAAGCATCAGCCAAAGCTACGGCTGGATCTTTCGGCTCCTTTGTGAATTACCCTGTTAAAAAGTTAAGAATGTTTAGACTCACTCTGTGAATTGGTAGTAAATAGATTCCTAGGAGTTCATATCTAAAACAACTTGACAAATAAATTAAACTGATGTTAAAAGAAAATTCCATGCAAATGTACAGATATTTATACAACAACTAGCTTTCAGCAACTTTTGCTGTAGGCCAGACGCATACAGGGGCTCCAAGCAGATATGACTAATCATAAAATCTATACTTATCAATGTTGCCAGATTGACTGGGACCAAAGAATAATTGTCTACATGTCATATACACTAAAGGAAAATACTATATCCGGACAGGGTCACATCACCTTGACATAAATTTCAATGTGAATCAAACCTCTGTAATGGTTTGCTTTTTATATTAGCACAGGAAATAGATCCTGCAATTTTCCAGAAATAGAATGGCAGCTCTTTAAGATGTCCATAAGACTTTTCTGTTAAAGACACATTGTCATGTTTCCTATTTAGGGCAAGTGTCTACTGATAGCCCACTCCCCTGCAAGTTATACTCACTAGTAGACATGTGCGATTCGTTTCGTTCCGAATCGAAATTCGGACGAATTTTAGTAAATTCGGACATTCGGATGTATCCGAATTCCGAATTACAGACATAACGAATGCAAACGAATCCGAATTTCCATTTCCGAAATTTCGGTAGCGTTCGCACGAACGTTCGTTTCGTTTTCTGTTCTTATTCGTTTCTTATCCGTTTCGTTCGTTGGAGCAAAGTGACATTAGAGAAGGAGAAAAATATTTTTTCCCCCTCAAATGTCACTTTTGCTGCAAACGAACGAAACGAATAAGAAACGAATAAGAAACGAATAAGAAACGAATAAGAACAGAAAACGAAACGAACGTTCGTACTAACGCTACCGAATTTCGTCCGAATCCGAATTCACTTTCACACCCGAATCCTGAAAAACTAAATAACACAAATCCG